CAAAATTACGGTATTTAATATCTTTTGCATTTTGAAGGACACAATAGCATTGCTGCATAATTTGGAAAAGTATATGTGTCTGCATGTATTATTGTCGAAAAAGTGTCCCATCTATTTTCGAAACTAAAATTATAAAAAATCAGGGTTCGTAGAACCTAGCGTAAATATACGAAAAATAGTAGCCTCAAAAATTCACAAATTGCCATGCTCTATAATCTATATAATTTAATAACAGCGAGGAAGAATTAGAGATAGCATTAAATAAAATGGAAGCAGTACTGACAGATCAGTACTGTATTAAAATAAATAAAAGTAAGACTAAAATACTGGTATGCAAGGGAAGTAAAAGTAGTGAAAGAGTGAATATAAAGATAGGAGACGAAAAATTAGAAGAAGTGGCTGATTTTAGATGTCTAGAAAGTCAGATAAGTCAGGACGGAAGGAGTAGTAGGAATATAAAGCAGAGGATAGCGCAGGGTCGTGTCGTCTTTAATAAAAAGAAGTTACTTCTATGCTCGCGAACGGTTAATCTAGAAATTCGAAAAAGGTTGTTGAAGGTGTATGTTTGGAGTACGGCGTTGCATGGGTGCGTAACATGGACAGTGGGCGCGGCGGAAAAGAAAAGGTTAGAAGCTTTCGAAATGTGATGTTATAAGCGAATGATTAGGATAACGTGGGTAGAAAAAGTTAGAAATGAAGAGGTATTAGAAAGAATAGGAGAACAGAGAACTCTCTGGAAGTCAATAAAAAATAGGCGAAATAGGTTGGTAGGTCACCTTCTCAGACATGAAGGTCTAGTCGGAGACATATTGGAGGTAGAAACAGGAGTTAGGGGGGGGTAGAGGCAGATCTAGGTTAGATTACTGTTCGCAAATAGTTAAGGATGTGGGTTGTTCTTGTTTTAGGAAAATGCGAAGTTTGGCTCGGGATAGGAAAGAGCGGAGGCACATGTCCAACCAATCTCAGGGCTGACGACCTTATGATGATATGATGATGGTGATGATGAATTGAATTTTGTATATTTTTGACATAAAAATTTTTTGGTTTTTGTATATTGGCTAACAGTAAGGAAACCATCATATAATACAGACCATCCACAAACTAATTTTATCAGTGAATTTCGAAACAAGTATTTTTTTGGGAAAACGCTAGGTACTCGTCATCTAATATGAATTTCGATCAAGGCTTTGTATAGGCGTGAAACGTTAGAAACGTTTGGGATGTGGTGTTATAAAAGGATGGAGGATGGTGGAGGAAGTCAANAAAATAGTAGCCTCAAAAATTCACAAATTGCCATGCTCTATAATCTATATAATTTAATAACAGCGAGGAAGAATTAGAGATAGCATTAAATAAAATGGAAGCAGTACTGACAGATCAGTACTGTATTAAAATAAATAAAAGTAAGACTAAAATACTGGTATGCAAGGGAAGTAAAAGTAGTGAAAGAGTGAATATAAAGATAGGAGACGAAAAATTAGAAGAAGTGGCTGATTTTAGATGTCTAGAAAGTCAGATAAGTCAGGACGGAAGGAGTAGTAGGAATATAAAGCAGAGGATAGCGCAGGGTCGTGTCGTCTTTAATAAAAAGAAGTTACTTCTATGCTCGCGAACGGTTAATCTAGAAATTCGAAAAAGGTTGTTGAAGGTGTATGTTTGGAGTACGGCGTTGCATGGGTGCGTAACATGGACAGTGGGCGCGGCGGAAAAGAAAAGGTTAGAAGCTTTCGAAATGTGATGTTATAAGCGAATGATTAGGATAACGTGGGTAGAAAAAGTTAGAAATGAAGAGGTATTAGAAAGAATAGGAGAACAGAGAACTCTCTGGAAGTCAATAAAAAATAGGCGAAATAGGTTGGTAGGTCACCTTCTCAGACATGAAGGTCTAGTCGGAGACATATTGGAGGTAGAAACAGGAGTTAGGGGGGGGTAGAGGCAGATCTAGGTTAGATTACTGTTCGCAAATAGTTAAGGATGTGGGTTGTTCTTGTTTTAGGAAAATGCGAAGTTTGGCTCGGGATAGGAAAGAGCGGAGGCACATGTCCAACCAATCTCAGGGCTGACGACCTTATGATGATATGATGATGGTGATGATGAATTGAATTTTGTATATTTTTGACATAAAAATTTTTTGGTTTTTGTATATTGGCTAACAGTAAGGAAACCATCATATAATACAGACCATCCACAAACTAATTTTATCAGTGAATTTCGAAACAAGTATTTTTTTGGGAAAACGCTAGGTACTCGTCATCTAATATGAATTTCGATCAAGGCTTTGTATAGGCGTGAAACGTTAGAAACGTTTGGGATGTGGTGTTATAAAAGGATGGAGGATGGTGGAGGAAGTCAATAAAAAATAGTCGAGGTAGATTGATAGGACACCTTCTCAGACATGAAGGGCCAGTTAAGTGTTACCCATGACAAATCAAGTAGTCGTACAGAAGTATTACAGTGGGCATTTGTTAAAAACTACGTATTTGGTTTTCCTTATTATGAATAAACCACTCTAAACTCTCATACGTCGCAATGCAACAGGTCTTTGCATATATAACTTATTACACCTCTAGCCAGGTTGCTGTGCCATAAGTCCTATTCTCATATCTTCTCAAGAAAGAGCGCCCTCGAAATTCGGAATTGGATGGAGAAATTTGACGATTGGTACTTCTGTGCACGATAATTGTTCGAATACGGGTTGCTTTGCTAAAATATTCTTATTCATTAGCAAATGCACTTTATATATTTTAATAAAAAACCACGTAAACATACAAGAATTATTACAGCTACGATAATGAAGACGTGTGAATAGTAAAACAAATAAAATAATTCGAAGTGGTCTGTATTCTGTCGAAACTGCCAGACGCGGATTGCGATTTCAATGTTTTTGGATCTCATCAGCGCGTCGCAGACAGCGTTGACAGAACACAGACCAATTTTTACCTGCTGTCTTTACAGTGTGTTTTATAAAGTTACCACAAATGGCGCGGTAAACGCCATCTGTAGTATAATGCTACATTTTAGGATTACGTATGCTCCAAGAAGGTCCATTTAAATATATGGATATGTACTTGCTGAAACGAATCCCGGCGTAGCTAACCACTACGTGATAGGCACTTTACCATATCCACTTCGAATTATTTTATTCGATTATGGTAACGTGCCTATCACGTAGTGGTTAGCTACGCCGGGATTAGCTTCAGCAAGTAGATATCCATATATTTAAAGGACCTTGTTGGAGCATACGTTATCCTAAAATGTAGCAT